GCTGATTTTGCTTATTTTCACAAAAAAAAACATAAATGAACTTCCAGCGTTGCTCAAAATGGACATGAAATATTTAATCTCACAGGGGCCTCTAAAGACTATGCTGCATCTCTGTGTATTAGTGTGCATTACAATACTGTGGATCTTTGTACCGTTTTTTTGTTTTTTGTGGTTCACTGTTGGTCCAGTATCAGCCTTTTGGCACATTTTGCGTCACATCAAATGGTACATTCTGAACTTCGCAGTGGAGTCAGTGATAAGATGTCCAGGCCGCAATGTTCCTCTCACTGTTTTACAGCTCAGATGAGGTCCTGCCTGTCAGTTTTAGTTTGTGTCAAACTAAAAGTCTTATACTACACCAGGGGCATTAAACTCTAAAAGGGCCATATAAAAAAAATCTCAACAAATCCGAGGGTCAGAGAACATCTATGTTTGTATTTCATTTTTAATCAATATTTTGCTATTTTTGGGAGGGGGGGTTAGGGGGTTGAAGCACTCATTACGTTGCTAATATTAATAGAGAATTAAAATAAGTTTGTGGGCTGGATAGGATTGTGTCACAAGCCTGACTGGGCCTGGGAGCCTTGTGTTTGACACATGAGTTCTACATAAGGCTGATCTCTAGGCATGCATTTATGTTGTGTTTTTACTATACAAGCAGTGAAAAGCAGGTTTTGGGGGTCTACTCACATATTGTAATACATATCATAATCACATATTATCTATATTTTACTGTGTAAATCGTTTCTCCAGTCATATTTGTATATTCAGTGTATTTTTTGAAATAAATTCTAAATTGTACAAAAATAATCAAATTGAATTGCAGTGAAATTGAAAATTTCATGATGCACTGAACTGTTTCTTAAAAATTAGAATTGAAATGAATAGTTTTGAGGTCACAGACCAACTAGATTTTCAGTTTTTTATTCGATTATTATTATTATAGTATCTTCTACAAAGATACTTCTTCACTAAACTAGAAGAACTGCCACTTGCCTTTTATTATAAGTGAGCTTTTTTTTCTTTTCTAAGCAGAGGCAGTTGTATTGAAATGCCAGTTGTATGCATAAGTTTCAGCACCCCCAGACAAATTCCATGTTGTAGCTACAGAAATATAAATATCTCTGTAAATCTTAGTGCACGATTTCTATTCATTTAACATATTAGAAAAAAAATAATAAAATAGAAGGTATGCTGTCACTTTTGCACAGGCCACATTTGATGTCTTAGTTGTTCCCAAATAGGTTAAGTTCAGTAAATAAACTAATTGTTCATTAAACTGTGCATTAGTGTGTTCTCTGTAGAGGATATGTTCACTTATTTACAGAAGAAGACTAACAACATGTTAGGGGTGCTCAAACTGTGTTGTGTTGTATTTGGTAGTGAATTGTATGCTACAGATACAGTATACAGAGATGAGAGGTGGAGTGTTGCTTTAAATCAGAGAAAACAGTAACGTTTACAGTGTGAGACCCTGATTTACTGCAGGATGTTTCAGCTTTGCTGAATAAAGCTCAAAGTAAGACACTGCTCCACTCTTTTGGGCAGTTATCAGCCCTTAAATGGATTACGGCCTCTCTCTTGTCCAGCAGGTGTAAGTTTTCAGGTCAGCTGTGTCACTTCCAGACTCATTACAGATATTGCTGTGGGCTTCACTCCGTCAGATGAGAGCAGAGAGGGTCTCAGTAAGTGACCTGTAGGAAGACTTTACTTTCTGCAGTGTTGGTGAGAATGTGCACCTTTGCTTACAGTATGTGGTTTAGCAATGTCCTGCTGAAATATGCGAGGCCTTCCCTGAAAGACACGCTGTCTGGATGGGAGCATATGTTGTTCTAAAACCTGTGTATTTCATTCAGCATAAATGGTGCCTTCCCCCATGCCATGTGCACTAATGCTACCCTATACCATGGCTTTTGAACTGTGTGCTAATAACAAGCTGGGAGGTCTTTACTCTGGAGGATGCAGTGCCCATTATTTCTAAAACTAATTTCAAATTTAGATTCGTCAGACCACAGGACACTTTTCCACTTCACCTCCATCCATCCATCCATCATCTAAACCGCTTATCCTTCTGGGTCGCGGTGGGGTGCTGGAGCCTATCCCAGCTGTCATCGGGCGGAAGGCAGGATACACCCTGGACAGGTCGCCAGTCCATCGCAGGGCAGACAAACAGACATATACATCCACACACACACACACACACACACACTCACACCTAGGGGCAATTTAGCACATCCAATTGACCTGACTGCATGTTTTTGGACTGTGGGAGGAAACCGGAGTACCCGGAGGAAACCCACGCAGACACGGGGAGAACAGGCAAACTCCACACAGAAACGACCCTGGTCACCCAGCCGGGAATCGAACCCAGGCCATTCTTGCTGTGAGGCGACAGCGCTACCCACTGCGCCACTGTGCCGCCCCCACTTCACCTCAGTCCATCTTAAAAGAGCTCGGGCCCAGAGAAGTTTCTGGATCCTGTTTATATATGGTTTCTTTGCACAATACAGTTTTAACTTGTATTTGTGGATTGCACGACGAACTGTGTTCACAGACAGTGATTTCTGAGTTCCTGAGCCCATGCAGTGATTTCTAGTACAGAATCATGCCTGTTTTGAATGCAGTGCCGCCTGAGGGCCTGAAGACCACGAGCATCCAGTATTGACCATCGGCCTTGTCCCTTGTGTACAGGGATTTCTCCAGATTCTCTGAATCTTTTGATGATAATGTACTATAGACGGTGGGATATCCAAAGTCTTCGTAATTTTACACTGAGGAACTATTTGCTGAAATTGTTCCACAATTTTTAGAGGCAGTTTTTTCACAGGTTGGTGAACCAAAGCCCATCTTTGCTTCTGAGAGACTCTGCCTCTCTAAAATGCTCTTTTTATACCCAGTCGTGTGAGTTAGATGCCAATCGCTCCTCCAGCTGTTTTTTTATTAGTATCACTTACTTTTCCAGCCTTTTGTTGCCCCTGTCATAATTTTTTTGAGATGCGTTGCTGCCATTAAGTTGTAAATGAATTAATGTTTTTCATGAAATGGTAAAATGTTCATTTTTTGTAAAAAAAAAAAAAAGCTTTATATAGAAAATGCTGTCCCACATTTTCATGTCATTACTGAAACATGGTGTTTTAGTCCATAGGCAGAGCCTTATTTTAGCCATGCCGCTGCATTTTAGAGCAGGAGGTGATGCTGCATCCCTGTCCCTAATGACCACATGGTGAGCAGTTAGAACCCATTGTTTTGAAGTAAATGTGTCCCACAGTCTGAAAATCATTGAACATTAAGAATTGTCACTACTGAAACAGATTCTCTGCAGTTAAGAACTTTCTGCAGTGTTGTAACAAAACTTAATGATTTAATGTGTGTTCAGCCGCTCAAAGCTGTGTTTGCTGGTCATGTGCTGGCTGTGTTTTTTGAGTTCTGATCAAAACAAGTTAAAATCGTCACTACCGAAAGTCAGAACTGAACCATTTGGTAAAGTTTTGACAGTGTTATGATTGTTTTGGTGGTGACAAAATGTTCAGTCATTTGTTTTAATAAACATAAGGTATAGGGTCACTCAAAGGATTTTAGTCTAAAGTCTGAATCAGTCAGAAGTCAGTGTTTTTGGCTCTGTGAAGAGCGAATGATGCACTCATGTTATACTTCTGTCCTACATATAAAGGTGAGCTGTATGAGCTGAGTGTACGCTGTGATATAAACACATTTTCCAGAATACTGAACTCTTCTACATCAATCAGCGAGAGAAACTCGTCCTGTGTAAGAAATGCTCCCACTGTGTCGCAGCCTGTCATCATCAGAACTGGAGGAAGTGGGAGCGCAGCACAGCGGATGGAGAAGCAGGTGGTGCGCGTGGAGGACTGTGACAGAAAAGAGGAAAGAGCTTCTCACACATACAGCCACGTTACTCTGACCCAACACTCACTTTAAAAACTGGACACTGCTAGAGTCTGTAAGAGAGCCTGTAAAACACACAGCGAGATTAAAAATCCTGGGCTTCCTTCGCAAATTTACAATCACGAGGAGACACAACACCCAGTAAGCTCTCCTATACAGGGCTGAAAACACATCATACATTTTTGACAAAAAAAAAATAATCACAAAAGGGAGCAAAAGTACAAAGTATAACTAAAACATAATGGAATTCATTGTCTTGGATGACCAACCGTTCTCTGCTGTCAGGGACGTTGGATTTCTAGGCCTTTATACTGTAATCATTGTAGAACATTTGTTTCCTGTAAACTGTTCTCATTGATTGTCAGCTTTGGGTGGGTGTTGGCTGATTGCTTCAAATAAATAAATAAATAAATAAGCTGCTTTCCTGCGCTACCATAGTTTTTGGCATATTTTGATAGTTCTGGTTTTGGTAGTTTTTGGTATGGTTTCATACTTTTTGGTATTATGTCATTGTCTTTGGTATGGTTTGATAGTTTTTTGGTATATTGTCGTATATTTTGGTACACTTTGATAGTTTTTAGTATAACTACCACAATATACCAAAAAACCATAAAGCTGCACACGGCGCTTTTCCAGACATTTTAATCCAACTTGATTGACAGTGGCAACAGAACGTCTGGAATGTCCTTTTAAACAGCTGATGGAAAATACGAAGGAATTTCAAACTGTTTACTTTGCATATTCACAACAGAGAGAGAGAGGGGGAGAGGGAGGGGGAGAGAGAGAGAGAGAGGGGGGGGGGAGAGAGAGAGAGAGAGGGAGGGGGAGAGAGGGGGAGGGGGAGAGAGGGAGGGGGAGAGAGAGAGGGAGGGGGAGAGGGGAGGGGGAGAGAGAGAGAGAGAGAGGGAGGGGGAGAGAGGGAGGGGGAGAGAGAGAGAGAGGGAGGGGGAGAGAGAGAGAGAGAGAGAGAGAGAGGGAGAGAGAGAGAGAGAGGGAGGGGGAGAGAGAGAGAGAGAGAGAGAGAGGGAGGGGGAGAGAGAGAGAGAGAGAGAGAGAGAGAGAGAGAGAGAGAGAATAAAAACACAGAGAAACGTTCACTGGGTAATGATACCAAACAGCCATGTTTAATTCACAACAACAAATCTGAACATGAACATATCAAAAACAGTTCAGCTGGTGTTCTATGTTCTACTCTAAACCCTAAAATTCTCAGAACTACAATAAGCACGTGGAGGCTATGTGCGCATCTTTGCTGTATTGTCTAAAATAATAAAAAAAAAAAAAAAGTCAAAGTAACGAGCAATGACAAAGGCAAGAGTCCAGTACACTTGTGTAGTTCAGCACATTGCATATGTTTGCTTTGGGAATCTAAAATGCATCCATAAATTACCATTTCATATTCAATAGTGCAGGGAATGATCAGTCGTCCACAGGACAGGCCGTGTATTTATGAACCAAATTTGAAGGGAAGGATCACCAAAAATTTTCTCCTTAAAGCAAATGTAGTCAATCAGCCATGTCATGTTTGGTGTCTGAAGTGTGTTTCTTTAGTCCCACTATCCTCACAGCTCCAGTGGAAAAAATATGCATACATTCATCTTTTTTAATGTACACCATTCCTTTAATCACCAACTGCTCAGTGAGTCTACTCAGGGGCCAAAAGTGGGTATTAATGAGGAAAGATCTCATGCGGAGGCTTTAAATGTTCAGAAATGTGTGCAAAACATTCATGAGCTTAGTGTCCACTAATATAAATATCAGAGAGAGTTCAGTAGCAATTAGCTGTTAAAGGGAGGCTGTACGGAGTGTGACTTTAGCTCAAGACCAGCTCAAGCTTTTACAAGCTAGGATATCATATCACATTTGGGACACCAAAAAAGCCTTAAAATGCACACATTCGAACTTTTAAGCTTTGGCATGCAAAGCCGCACCAGCTTTTCAGGTTTGAGGAGACATTAATTTTTCAAATCAGACACGTTATTTTCTGCAGGCTAAAAAATACAGGACCTGTCCTTCTGTGCACTGAAAAAGTGAACAGGTTCAAATATGTATATCATTTCCATGCGAATGAAAATGCTAGAGCTGGGCAAATATTGATAAAAACTGAATATCATGATCATTTCAAAATATAACGTGACATCATGGTATGAGACGATACAGCTGTATGCAAAAGTGTGAACACTCCAGTCGAATGTTGATTTTAACATTTTTCAGCAAATTTTAATTCACAATAACTGTTTATCTGCTGAGTTTAACATATGGGGGGGAAAATAAAAGTGTATAACTTTTGCACAGACTAATATCTTATGCATTTTAACACCCACCCCAATATGTTAAATTCAGAAAAAAGGTGTATTAAAATATACAGAATGGTGCTTCAGCTTTTTCAGTTAGAAAATCAACAGATCCTGTAATTTATCAGGGGTGTCCAAACTTTTGCATAAGACTGTATTTAACCTCTTAAATGGCCAGGAGGGACCCACCAGTGGGTCCACAGTTTAACTACACACTTCTATAACTCAGCTAGCTTGCACTGTAGTCCTTGTAGTTACTGAATAATAGGCTTTAGTATGGACTAAGTCTGAGGTTTTAAGGGGTTAATTGCTTTTATAGCCAGTTTTTTTCAGTACTGTTGAAGAGAGGCAAGGACTTAGGGACCCCAGGAGCCAGAGGACCCCATATAAATACAAATTAGATATGTACATACACTGTATGCTACGGACTACCAGAATGCCTGTTAACTGCTATTACAGCAAGTTTTTTAGCACTGTCTAAAGTAGGTAAATTCCCCATAAAAACCTAAATTATAGGGCAACTTGGGGGGAAGCCCCCGGAGAATAAGGTATGCCCCCGTCCCCAATTTCTCAGATCAAAGAATCAGTTTAAATCTAGCCTATACACATTTACCGAATGGATATGGTCTAATTAACCCCCTAAAATCCCAAGACTTTTCATTCGGTAACTACAGGGACTTCAATGCAAACTGGCTGAGTTATTCTTAGCGTATAGCAGTGTGTAATAAAACTTTGGGCCCACCAGGAGGCCCTGGCCATTTATAATATTTAATCTTGTAATCTCTTATTCTTTCAAATCAATCATAATTAAGGTGCACAAGATAGAACTGAAAAGCCACTGTTATTTTATGGGCATTAAAGCATAATGCTCATTATTTATTAAACATATCAGTGAAACTAAAAGCAAACAGAGTTTAATATAAAGATACATATATCACTCAGCTCTGAATGACACAATTCTGCTTTTCAATTCATGTATTTTGGCGTAATTATGTTAATGTATAAATTGTATTCATGTGGAAATGATGCACATATTTAGATCATCGTAAATTCAATGCATTACTTTTTTCAGTGCATTCATCAACACACACAAACAAAAAAACAAAAACACAAATAACCCTAAATGACCCTTTCCCCAAGGTCAAAATCCCACAATAACTCCCATTTCCCCCACAGATCCGGAGTCTCCCTCATGTTTTGGTTCAAACAATAGTGTCATTCACTTTCCAGCTCTGCATTCTGGTCACTAAGCTACCTAAAGTTTGGTCATGCAAAGCCACCATACGAATGTTTTCAGAGAAACTTGAGCTAAAGCTGATGAGGTCCCTTAAAAACACAGCGAGGAACCAGAACAGAGATGCAACAGCGCGATTTCCCCTCCACACACAAACACTCCAGCATCAGCTGACTGACTAAAACGAACTTCTGCTCAAGTGACAGCACGACTCGCAAGGGCGTCAGCTTTTCTGTAGAACGAGAACAGTTGCGAAACGCAGTGGCTACTCTAAACTCATTTCAGTGTTATTTCAAACTATTCTGGATTAAAGGCTTGGTGAACTTGTACTGACACTGCATTCAGGACCTAAATACAAAGGATCTGACCCAAAAACAAATAGACAAGCAAAAGAAAAAGGCGTCTGTTGAGGAAATAAGTCTGAACACCATAGTTTAAAAAACATGACTACTAAAAAAATAATTCTACAGCATAGTTGTCTGTTTTAAAAGAGGTGGGAAAATTGCCCATGTCCTTTTTTTCCATTTTACTCAACAAATCTAATTATTATAAAAGCTTCTGGAAAGAAAATATTTAATTACTAAATAACTTAAAATACATAAATTACCTCCACCACAATATAATTGCAGGTGGCAGAGAAAATAAAAATGTTTACAGAGGGTGAGGGAACGAATATTACTAATAATAATAATAATAATAATAACAGTAGTAGTAAAAAGTCCTAAAACTTGGGCCAGCAGCTCTATTTGCAGTTTGCATGTGTTTGTTGCACGAGATCCACAAGAGAAGATGCAGGAGCTCTAACTTCTGAACAGAGAAGCTTTGGCATACATACACACTCTCACACACACACACCACATTTGGACAACGCGACAGCACACACACGCGCACACACATGCAGCAGGCCCTGCTTCAGTGGCCCGAGGTCAGAGGTCATTCAGAATATAATCTTCAGTTCTGCTGCCACGGTAACCGGCAGTGAGGGCTCATGGTCCAGAGGCGAGAGAAAGGATAAGAGTCAACAGCAGAAACATTGCAGCAGATTTCTCACCAACGTCCAGAGGTGGCTTAAACTGAGAGTGTGTGTGCATCACATATATATATATATATATATATATATATACACACACACACACACTATATATCACATTGTTGCTGTCCAAAAAAAACATGTATCTCCATCTCCATCATTTAAACACGAAAGCCGTCCTTTACAGCATGTAAAAAATGCATGATTAATGGACCAATATAAATGCTCCAAAATCACTTTGAATAAAACCTCTTTACTCACCAGTAAAGGTGAGAGGGTTTTTGCTTACTCCTGTGAAGTTGCTATTTTAGAGATGCTTGTTTTCCTTTGGACAGCGATATTCATATACTTACACACACACACACAACAATAAACAGTACTGTGCAGAAATCTTGGTACTACCATTATTGTTTTTAAAAGCACATCTTGGCAGTAAGTGTATTTTCCCCCCTTAATAAAACAACATACAGCAATTTGCTAAAGTTTGAACACCTCCAGTCAAATGATACATTTTGTTCATTTTCTGTGTTAAATAAGTTAACACCTCCTCTACAGAGAACACATAGTTTTTCTGCAAATTTTCACGTGCAATTTCTTTTGCCCTGGAGTTCAACAGTGAAAATATATAAAAATATAACATAAAATAACATAAAACTCGCCATAACCTTTGCACAGGCCACATTTTGCTTGCATTAACATGTGCGGACGTGTTCTCTGCGGGGAGGATGCGTTACTTTGCTTTCACTTGGAAAAAAAAAAAAAAATCAACAACATGCAATTTGTTGGGGCGCCAAAACCTTTGCACACGACTGTATACCATCAGAATAAATACAAACAGACATAAACACAGTAAAAAGTAACGAGAATTTCTCATTTTTAAAATGCAGCTGACATCATGAGCTAGCTAGAAAAAGAAAGTTTGGTTCCAGATTTCTCCATCGCAGGGATCTGTTCACAATCTGATTTAACACAATGAAGTACTGATTAGATAAACCAACTACAAATACGGGGCTTCCTCGAGGAGAGATCTGGAAATGGTTAAACGAGCACTGACAGATATAAAATCACCACTTATTGTTTTAATGTTATTTGGATTTATTCTAATATTAGTGATTTTCTGAGCAAATACACATTGACTGCAGAAAAACAGCTTTTAAATCCAATTTTCAGGTGCCTAAAACTTTTGCACAGTACTGTGTATCTGTAAACACACACACACACACACACACAGTTCAAAAGTATCAGGCACCTCATCAAGCTCTTGGCTGTCCGTATGTTATGTTAAACATGACTACAATAAAAACTAATTAAAGTAAGGAAAAAAGTTTTTGTTTTTTTTTTAAACAAAGTACTTGATGGTTAAAACACTACAGGTTTGGTTCCAGATTTCTCCTCGACACCCCAGCCAACCCAGGGATTTGTTAAATTCCATCAGCAGCACACTTGATAGCATAATGAAGTACTGATTAGCTAAACCAGGTATTGGATGATGACTCCAAATAATGATGGGCTTCCTTGAGGAGAGGCTAAAATCACTGCTTATTATACTAAAGCTGTTTGCATTTATTTTTATACTATTGTTTTGTTTTTTAAAGAAGTAATGCTTACTGTCCACATAAATAGCTTTTAAATTCTAATTTTCTCCAGTGTCCAAGACTTTTGGACAGTACTGTGTATATGTGAGTGTGTGCGGCTCATGTGCAAGTAGGTTTGGTTTGAACAGTTAACAGCAGACACCTTCTCTGGACACAGCAGGTCTCCCTCTCGTGTAAATGAGTGTTTCTTTGACCGTTCAGGTCCGTTCAAATGCACTGCTGATTTCAGTGGCCCCTTTCAAGATTGCACGGTTTGTCTCCTTTTCTTTCTTTCTCTCTTTTATAAGGACGACTCCACTTCTCTGGCGATGGTCACGTCCTCCTCGGCCTTGGGCTCCCCCTGACCTTTGACCTCCTGGTCCCTCGCTGCGTTCTCCAGCGATTCATTGATGACCTCCAGCATGGCTGCGGTGGAGGCGGCTGCGGCGATGGCCTTCTGGCCCGCCCCCGCGGCGATTTCAGCTGGCTTGGGGCCATCGGCGGAGCCGCAGCAGAATTTGGGAGCGCACTGCGTCCTGCAGGAGAGCTCGCAGAGGGACGCGCGCGACTCAGAGTTGACGGTGACGAACTCCGGCTGGATGGTGGTGGCGTGGATTCCTTCGTCGTGGAAGAAGGCTTTGATGCGCTTGGCCACGTCCATGTAGGTAGCAGGGTCGTGGCACTTGATGTGCGCCGTGGCGATGATGCGGCTGCCGGCCAGCTGCCAAATGTGCAGCTCGTGGACGGCCAGAACGCCCTCCAGCTCTTGCAGCCTCGAATTCAGGCTGTGCATGTCGATCTGCTTGGGCACCGTCTGCAGCAGGATCAGTGCCGACTCCTTCAAAAGTGGGTATGTAGTGTACAGCAGGATGCAAACCATAATCACGCACAACGTAGGGTCCAGGTAAAGCACCCAGCACGGTCCAGCTCTGGCCAGAGGTATGGGCATGTCCTGCAGGCCGCTGTGGTTGCCATGGTCATTATCCTGCAGCTCCACCAGTGTGTGGTTGATGTGCTGGTGGTCAGTGCAGTGGCTGTTGACGCAGGGGTTAATGCAGGGCACCCCGGGCTCGCACGGCTGCCACACGAAGGTGAAGATGATGGCGTTGATAACGACAATGACGGAGCCCAGAGCGTCGCCCAGAACGTGCAGGAAAACGCCCCGCATGTTGAGCTGTGAGGCCGAATCGTGGCTGTGGTCCTGCTCTGGGTCATCGTAGGAGGCGCTACCGTTCAGCTGGACATCTACACATTCGCCGTGAGGCAAGTCTGCAAAGGAGGGCAAAACAATAACAAACGATTAAGTCTAACATGACCGAGTCAACAGAGTTAATGATAAACACTGAAGACTGATGTTTTGCCAGGATGTGTGATAACACAAGCGCTTTATGACCAAAATAAACGTCACCAAACCTCCTCCACCATTTCACCGGATTGTAAAACCAGGGATGTGCACAAGAACTCAAGTTAACCATTTAGTGTGTCAATATTCGAAAACTGAAATCACGACGCAGGTATTTGCTACGTTTAATTAAAGAAAGACGGAGAAAACGTACAGACTGAAAAGTCAGTAGCCACGTTTACATGCAACCTAATAATCTGTTAATAATCCGACTAATATCTCAAGTCAGAATAGAAATCGTCCAGGTATTTCTGGGATCTGATTTTGGCCAAAAAGTTGTTTTCTAAAAGTCAATCATGGTGGAGAGATACATGCAAGGTGTTGTGACGGTCCCCAAATAAAACTTACTTCTTTCAGATTTATTACTATTTTACTAACATCAACGTCCCATATAAAACTCAGAAGACACGTGTTGGTTCGCTGGTGGTTTTGGATAATAAATAAAATGGCTGTGTGTGTGTTGTAGTTATGGTGACCCCTGGTTCCTATCACCACCACTGTAAATAAATATGAGTCTCTGCAATCAACTATTTTACTACAAACCACTCTGAATTATTCTGCTACTCTGAATGAATGGAACACTGATGGAATCGCCCTTTAATCCCTCTCTGAGAAACCAACCCGAAGGGTCTGTATGTGGATCCTTCAATTCCTCATCTGCAATTAGTTTTATAGTAGTTACTAAAGAACTGAAAGTAGATACAAAAATCTGTCAAGAAAAAATAAAGTGGTTTAAGAACAAAATAAAGAAAGGAACATACAATTTTTTAAAAAGTTCCCTAGTAAGATAAAAACACTCCCTGCCAGTGATCACCAACCCTGCTCTTGGAGATCTATCTTTCTGCAGATTCCTGATGCATCCCATTATTTCCTGGATGACTGGTGTTAGATTTGGGTTGGAGGTGAAAAGTGCAGGATCTCCAGGAGGCAGGTTACTGATCTGTTCTATATTGTTGCCTCCTTGCCTTGTATTTCAGGAGTTTAATCCACTCACTGATGAGCAATTAGCTCTGAAAAGTTGCAGTAGCATTAAAATAGCCAAAAAGGTATTTTCTAAAAGCCATTCATGGTGGAGGGATACATGCAGGGTGTTGTGAGGCTAATTAGTCCCCAAGTAAAACTTACTTTAATCACTCTGTCCACATTTTACAAAGTGATACATTCTCAAATTGCTGCCCATAAGAATATAAATCTAATCAAATCTGTAGCACACAGATGCTCTCAGATACGCTTTTCTTTGAGTGGACAGTTTCTCAGGTAAGACTCCACTGGGGTGCTAAGGATCACGAAAGACAAAGCGGCCTCAGGTTAATTATTTATTTGTTACAACAGCATGACACGCAGTTCAGAATCAATATGCGCAATATCACATTCTAATCCTGCTACTATTGCGACTGTAATACAACCTGGATTATAATAAGACAACAGTATTACCCCTGTGACCTGGTTAAAGACTGACTACACAGGAACACTGAGAAAACCTGCATTTACACACAGTCTCGTTCCAGAAGCTGTGCTCAAACTTTAGACTACATGATCTACACTCTTACAAATGATGGTTCCTCAAGGGTTCTTTAGTAAAGAAAATGGTTCTACACAGAACCTTGGACACTCAAAGAACCCTTTGGTTGCTTTGGTTTTTATAAGCCCTATCATGTCTCCATATACACAGTTACTCCCGTCTTTTATTTCATTTCATTTATTGGCCTTAAACTCAGCACACTCAACTCACATTTTGTCTGACGCAGAGCGATGTGACCGTGAAATGTACACTGTAAAAAATTATGCAGCTTTTAAACTTAAAAAAGTAACTGGGTTAAAATGAAATGCCAAGTTCATTAAACTTCAAATAATAAACAAAAAAACCAACCGTAAAACACTAATTATTGTTCTGTTAACTTGTAATATAAAGTTCAATGACCTCAAAATGTAGTTAAAAAAGTTAACCCAGTTACTTTACATTTAAAAGGTACATAACGTGTTAACAGTGTAAAGATAGTTTGAAAATGTCTGTAGTCAGCTTAAATAATTGTGAATAAGTGATTATGTATTGATTGTGACAGGCCTACCAGAAGCTGTAGTAGGCTAAGCTTTTAATTTTGTCAGTTGTCTCTTCACACCAAACCACGCTGAATGACTATTTACATCTCAACCACCAAAATATGCAGAAATTTTGAAAAATCAGTGGATTTCCCCTTTAAAGTTAATGTCTACTCATTTTCTGTTGTCTGTAGTTTTTGTGATGTTTTTACCATAAACTGGCAAAGAAAGAACATTGTTGGTCTTTTCTGTTGAGAGATTTTTTAAAATAATTTTTTCTGCAGTTTTCTTCAGTTTAATTTCAGTTCGGTGGGACTAAATTTGACGTACTTTACCAGAGCTGGCAATGTTTATGTTTACATCACTACAGGGGGAGATTTGTTAATTCACCAGAGTTATACGACACTTTTGTGGAGTTGTTTATCACTGTTTTATAAAGAAAAAAAAAAAGCAGTTTCACAACGATGGGTGAGATACTGGGCTATAAAAGGGCCTGTGACATCCAGGTAATCTAAGCTAAAGGCTGAACACAGAAACAATCCTCCCTATGATTTTACAAGGCCGAACTAAGCAAGAGAACATGAACTTGGCTCCGTTCAGTAAACCTGCTAAACTGACCATAAAAGCATGTCTTGAGCTCATCATGCTATCCAGGTAAGCAGAAATCCAGTCAGGCTCATCTGGATGTACCCAGTATATGCACCGTTTAGTTGCAGTGCTTAAAAAGTTTTTAGAGTGTTTAGACAGAAAAACGATTCAGACTTGGTGTGAAGGTCCCAATGCGTTAAAATTTTCATCAAAAAAACGTACTTGTTATGAACAGGCCTTAACAGTCCAGCTCCGCCCTCGACTGGCGTCGGCTATTGGCTGATCGTGCTGAAAGGCGATCGGTATTGGCTCCAAAGACACTGATAGGTCTTTCTCTATTGTATACTATTGAGGCCTTGTCCACATAAATGTAAATATTTTTGAAAAATGTAGTTGTTTCCTTCTTTTTCAAACACAGCAGTCTTCTACATGCAGACCTCCGTCATTCAATACTTCACACAGATTCAGTCTGATTACTGCCAAAAAATAAAAGCTTTAAAAGAAGAAAGAAATCCTACCGCTTTCTGTGGGTTTGTTTACATTGTCATGGCTACACCACTGTCTCTGAAACGTCCACACACTCCTGAACTGATCTAAGATGTTTCTAGCACTGAAAACCTCATTTTTAAAAGTGAGGTTTTTGTTTTGTGGCATATAAATACTAATAAAGCAAATTTTGAAACATCTGAAGGCTGACAGGGACTTTAACGCTCACTCTGGTTTTTATTACTGGATTACATAACAAGGTTTCGTGCCAAGTTCAAACTAACACAAAAGGTAAAAGTGGAGCTCAGAGTGAAACTCTTCTGAAGGACATAACAGGATCTCCATTCACCAAACTGACCCTTCCTGTGAATAACAGGCCAGTTCACACTAAACGTGTTTCTGAAGCGTTTTTAGGCTCTGTTGTTCACACCGGTTTCAGACTGAGCATCCATGTTAGAAGTTGCACATGACACATTTGTCACGTTAGCTACAACTGTGCTGATAATAAACTGAAACATGCATAAAGAAGTGGACACAAAACAAATACAGTGAAATACAGTGAATGTGTAACAGTGAGCTGAAGCCAGTGTGGTGGCAGGTGAGTGTGAGCCTGTGCAGCGCTGGGCTGTTTGACTAATCTCTCTGCGTTAGGGAGGGCAGAATGTGTCACAGAGTGACTCACTGTCCCAGCTGGCTGTTTCTGCATGCATGTTTGACGCAGGAAAAGGGCCCATCTCATGAAATGTTTCCTTTAAACAAATAAGGGTTTGATGTACTTTGCAAACGAGAGGGGAAGCCCCTGAGCCTTGCAGGCCCTCAGAGAAGGCCTAGTGATTTTTGATAACTAACAACACGTCTGTAATTTTAAGTTCATTTTTATACAACAGAATAATGCTTGTATTTAAACTCTGCAGTACTACTTGTTTCATTAAAGTTTAGGATGGAAATAAAAGGGTTAAATACTTGAAACACTCAGAAAACTGACCAATAAGGAACAGTTTTTCTCCCCTGTGTCTGGGTAGTTACAGGTAAGCAAGCTCTCCTACTGGTTAGGACTTCAGGAGCTGAAGCGAAGACCTAATATGTAAGATTAACTATCAACATTATTATGAAGTGACAGATTAACCCAACCAACCACACTTTGATTTCCAAAGGGTGGTAGCAATTTTGTGAGAAAGTAAATGTCACTCTAGGCCTTCTGGAAGTTCTCGATATGTAACTAAGTGGCAGCATAATCAGTAGGTCAGTAGAAACAGAAAACAGCGGCGGCTGCTCTGCATCAGAGCTCACTACCGAGAGAGTCACTGTGAAACTGGTACAAAGTAATAATGTACACTTATATGTCTGTCTTCAAGTAAAAGATGGAATGTCTTATAGAAGCCTGAAATATCTGTGTTTAATATAGAACTGACTTAAGCATAAAATGTCAACACAATATCAAAAAATAGCACAAACAGCAGCTGCCTAAACAGCTAAACTGATCTGCTGTTGTGTCGGTCAGTCAGAAATCGTCATTTAAAAAGCTGCATATTTGGTTTTCGCAGGAAAATATTAAAAGAATAAACAGACGGTGGCTGTAGATAACTAGTTTTATTCACTTTAACATGTACATATCGTTCTCTACTATGCTGGATATTTTTTCCATTGAAAAAGTCACCGCATCTACTGTCGCGTTTCCATGGCAACCGGTTTACTTATTGGTTCCGAACATATTATCGTCATGTTGAAGCGACGTACGCGTTATTTAGTTGTT